AGGATTAATGAGCAAAATTTGTTGGGGAGGCCTATTTGTCACACTCAGGAAACTACAATCTAATTTTACTTTCTGCTGTTCATTGCTCTTGCATTGCCATTCATTTGCTGAAGGCAAAATACATTACTTTTCAATAAACAAAAGTGGGCCCAGCGTGTCCTGCTCCCCCGCCTTCCTCCAGACGTTAACAACCTGGGCTGATAACTGACTTCTTGTATTGGGGGGGTATGTGTGTGTGTGTGTGTGTGTGTGTGTTCGTTCTTCTCCTTCCTTCCCCCACCCCCTTTATTTTAGCTCACCGACAGAAATTTACTTTCACTCCATTCTGGAGCCTACAAGTCCAAGATCAACATGTTGGCAGGTTGGGTTTCTTTGGAGGCGTCTCTCCTTGGCTTGTAGATGGCTGCTTCTTGCTGTGTCCTCACATGGTCATCACTTGGTCTGTGTGTTGTCTGGGTCTGAATTTCCTCTTATGAGGATACCAGTCATCTTGGATTCGGGCCCACCCAGCTGGCCTCATTTTCCTGTAAATACCTCTTGAAAGACCTTATCTCCAAATCCAGTCACACTGACCTTGCCATGCCGTTTAACATGGAGCTTCCTCACAAAGTTCAGAGGCAATGCTGTGTCTCAGGCTGCTTTACAGGGTCAACGGTAGGTCCATGGGCCTGTAATTTGGAAAGTTGCACTATAAATTAGTAGTGGGGGAGGGGAGGAAGAACAGGTGACTGAAAAAAGGGCTGCTGGTTATTGACACTGGACCAAGAGACTTGTAAAATCATCCATTTCAGCAAGTTCTCCAGGGCATGTAAAATATTATTGGGTCCAGGCAGTTTTATAGACACACCTAAGTGGGGTTCGCTCCTGCACGCGGCTTCTGTGCACACCAGAGCTGCCTGCTGGGGGACTGAGCCCCCAGAACACTCTGAGCTGTTCCCCCAGACACAAACTCATCTGATCCTGAGAAGCACCATCTTCCTTCTCCTCCCTTCTCCTCCGTGCTTCTCTCACAGACTGGTCCTCATAGTGGACAGTCGGGCACGTGTTTGCCCTGCCACATGAGCGCGCCAACCCCCCGGAGCTCATTTGCCAAACAAATGCCTGGCCCCAGTTTTTTTTTGTACTTGGGTCTTTCTTTTTTCATCAGAGAAATGATGATTGTTTTTCTTCGATTCAGTGTTTCCAGAGAACCATTCACATTTAAAGCTAATATTGGAACAGCAGGTTTCCACTGAAAATATTTACCTTTTCTTTGTTGGCAACTTGTCAGTGTTGGGGGAAAATAGATGCTTCATTAAAATCTAAGTACGTTATACTTTCTTCCTCACACATCAGTCGCTCTTCTTCTGAGATGAAAAGCATCGTGAGAGGTGTTGAGAAATTATTCTGGTCGTCTGTTTTTACATATTTTTGATGTCTTCTAGCATCTCGTTCTTCTTGTTCAAAAGTAGGCACTGAGCACTGAGCAATGCATAGAATTGTTGAATCCCTATATCGGACACCTGAAGCAAATATAATACTGTACGCTCATTATGCTGAAAAAAAAAATTCTTTTTAAAGTAGGCATTCCCATACCTAAACTTGCATGGAGAAGTCTAGAATATCAGGTTACATTTCAGCACTAGAACATCAGAATTGATTTTGGTTGCCTGTGTGGCTGGCAGGGTCTTCTCCTTCCCTGGCAAGCCCACTGTGGAATATAAGGGTACATAGAACAAAGCTACCATTTCTCCAACAGCACCAGGTACTATGGCCTCAACATATATTTAATCCTCTCAACTACTCTGCCAGGTAAATATTGTGGAAGACGAGGGCTCAGAGAATTTGAGATCCTGGCCCAAGTTTAGACAGAGCTGAGATCCCACCCCAGGACTCTGTGACCCCTGTTCCATTTCCCCCCTGCTGCTAGTTGCTCTTTATCTTGCCAGAGGCCACACCTTTTGCCACACCGCATGGCCGACATCCTGTACTGGTTATGGCCCCTCTCTTTGGGCTGATGGCTGAGCGAGCACCTGGGCCCAGTGTCCCTGACATAGAGGGAAGCCCTGGGCTCACAGACTATTGACTGGAGAGAGATAACATTTCAGATCAACCTGATTCTCCTTGTCCAGCCAGAAATCAGAAAAGAGGAGGTGCGCCGAGCTGATGGGACAGCCCCACCGTTGAAAGGGAGAAAGGCCCCCACAAGAGATGCCAATAAACTCTGACAAGTTTGACCCCCATTATAACTCCCTTGATCTTCAAAGGGAAGTTGTTGTTACTCTATTTAAATTAAGGATCTCTGTCTATCAAAAGGCACCATCAACAAAGTGAGAAGACAAGGCATCAACTGGGAGAAGATATTTATAATGTGTATAACCAACAGAGGATTAATTCCCAGTACCAGCAAAACTTAGCCATATATAGTTTAAGCAAGCATACAATTGTATTAACCCACTAGTTTTTATTTTTTTTTATTTTTTTTTTTAAGATTTTATTTATTCATGAGAGACAGAGAGAGAGAGAGAGAGAGGCAGAGGGAGAAGTAGGCTCCCAAGGAGCAGGGGGCCCGATGCGGGACTCGATCCCAGGACCCTGGGATCATGACCTGAGCCTAAGGCAGACGCTTAACCATCTGAGCCACCCAGGCACCCAACCCACTAGTTTTTAAACGGCAATGAAAGGAATCATCCAAAATTCTGAGCAGTTTCCTCTGTGAGGGGCAGGGCATGGGTAGAGACCCCAGTGGGTCATGTTTATATTTGCACTGAATGGATGAAGGGTTCATGGGTGTCAATTATTTTTTTAGGCTTTATCACTAACATGTATGTAACATATGATCCTTCATACATATTAAAGAGTATATGTTTTTAAAATAAAGGTAAAAAGGGATTAGTTACTGTTAACAACCCCTGGAAATTATTGTCTTTATTCCTGTCTTTACAGATGGGGAAACTGAGGCTCAGTGGGTTCCCACTAGCCACTAACATGCACATTGGGTCCTTACTGCCACGCACTTTACCTGAGTCATCTTTTTTAGTTTTTCTGGCACCTCTGTAGATAAAATAACTTTCATCATTACAACCTACAGGAAATGGAGGCCTGGTTGACGTGAGGTAAACTCCCAGAGTCACTAGTTGGTGGTCACGGCAGGGCTGTCACCTGTGGCATGCCCTATGACCCTCCTGCCAGCTTCAAGGCACAGTGTGGGTGAGAGTTTTGTTCCACGGGCCTCTCGTTGGGAGTAGTGATGAGGGGTCCACATCCAGTTGCCATGTGGCACCATCTTAGTGCCTAAACAGGGGCCATCCTAAGCCAGGCAGTTGAGGTCTTATCTGTGTCAGCTTGAGCCACCATCACAAAATTCCACGGACTGGGAGCTTAAGCAACAGACAGTTATTTCTCACAGTTCTGGAGGCTGAAAGTCCAAGATCAAGGTACCGGCCCATTCTATTCTATTCCCCTGTGAGGGCCCACTTTGTGGCTCACAAATGGCTACCTTCTCTGTGTCCTCACATGGTAGAGACAGACAGAAATGCAAACTCTCTGCCAACTCTTCTTATAATAGGCACTAAGCCCATCACGGGGGGCCCCACCCTCATGACTTCATCTAAACCTAATTACCTCCTAAAATTCCTACCTTCATCACACTGGGGGTTGGAGCTTCAACATGTGAATTTGGGGTGGGGGGACACAAACATTTAGTCCATCACAGGTAGTAAAGAGAGGAAGGGAAATAGATGGGGAGCCGGAAGATAGAACAGACAGTGTTGAAGTTAAAATTTATTTCTACTTCTCATTTTTAAGGCCTTGCGGCCATAAAGAAATAGTTCTTCTAACGACTCCAGCACCCTCTCTCACCGCCTGTGCCTGTTTGGCTGACACTCCCGAGGGGCTCTCAGCACTGTCATTGAACTCCTGCTGTCTCAGTCTCACTGTTGTTTGGCTATAAATTTCTCTGACACGGATTTTGAGTACAATTTCCAGACTTTTGGAGCAGGAGTTTCCAGTTTGCTTGTAGTGTCCCATCCAAGTGGAGGGCCAAAATGGCACACCTTCGAGCAGCCCCCCCCTCCTCCTACAACCACGACTGTCCTACTCAGCCGCCCAGGGCCTCTGACCTTTTCTGTCTCAGCTCACAACAGGGCAGATCTTAAGGAGAACATGTCAGGGCAACCTGAACTCTCAAATCCGGGCAGCATGAATTGATAGGGTTAGAAGAGTTTACTGCATTTCAATCATCTTCATGTGCTCTGTCAGTAGGAAGTCTCTCACCCTGACAAATCATAAAGTGCTTTTAGTTGTTCGTCTACAACCCATGTGTTACTGGGTGAGAGATTGGGTATCATTTGAAATTTATGTGTTCGGGATCTCTGACTCTAAAACTATCCATCAAAAGTGACAGCAGAACATCTCCACAATTACAGTGTAATTTACATAAAACATCTGTCCCTGAGCTCCTGGGGAGGATGTCCCCTCAAAGAGTCTCCTTCGCATGGTTCTTCCTGCCTGAGCCCCGTACCATCTCTTTTCATCCTGGGGATAAGTCACTGTTCTGTCTTTTAAAATCATTCATTTTCTGAGTTTCTATTCTTGGCATACCCACTGTATGTGGACGCAGATTCTGGGATGTGGCATGAATAGATCCAGCCCAGGCTGGGGGAGCTGGGGGCCTCTCTGCTCAGTGAGGGGAACCTCAGGGAGAGTGCTGCCTGGGCTGGGGTGCACGGGAGGGGAAGCTGCAACCATTTACAATCGTGTCTTAGAAGAGTCTTTAATGGTGCAGGGAAATGTTCTGTATGAAGTTCTGTAGTAAAAAAAGAACTTGGAGAGAAAGTGCGTGCTGGGGCCAAAGAAAAGTACTGGAAGAAAATAACCAAAATATTATCACTAGTTATTTCTCTATTTTCCAAACTTTCTGCAAAGAGCATATGTGATGCTTCTAATCAGAAAAAGTCCTCTTTTCTGTTATGTTTTAAATAGCTCAAGATTTAAAATTCGTTGGCACGGCCACTGCCCACATGGGGCTAGGCCTGGTGGAGGAGGAGCTCCTGGGGGCCTTGGAATGGGGTGGCTGTGGGGACCGAGCAGTCACCTAGAGCGTTGATCTGGGGTCGGCTGGCCCAGGTTTACCGAGTCTCCAAGAAGTCCAGTTTTATGTATCTGCTAGTGACCAGGCAGGAAGTGCTGGTGGCTGTCATTACCCCTGCTTCCCAGTTATGTACCAGCATTGCTGAGACCCCCTCTCTGGGTGAGGCCTGGGGACACCACACCTGCTAGATACAGAGTATGATCAGTAATGGAGACAAAGCCTGGGCCTGGGGTGTGCAGGGACCCTCGGCCAAGAACATCGGCACTGGGAGAGGCTCGTGGCTCCGTCCCTCTCCTTCTGAGGTGCTCTTGAGGAAGTCCCCACCACCTAAAGACCCCTCTGGGACACATAAAACCTGAACGCACACTGAGATACAAGAAGCCTGTTCCTTGAGAGACTATGGTGTGGCCCTCTGTTGTCCAGGTTGAAAACTCCTAGTTACAAATCAGAGATAGGAGTGATTTTTTTTTTTTTTTAAAGAGAGATAAGAAAGAGAAATAAACTGTTGACAGCAGGGAAAGTTGAAAATGACTCCGGAGCTCTATTATAGAAATAATCATCGTAATCATTCTATTATGTTCCACTTTTCAATACCAGAGTGACTGCGTGCTACCAAGGAAACAGTTTACAACAGTTTACATCCTATCTTTTCCAAACAGTTCCGTTTTCTTTGTTGCTGTCCCATGCTGGGGATGCCACAGCGTGGCCCCAGATGTCATTTGAATTCCTTCACATCAGCACAGGATGGGGAAAGAGGTTTTCCAGAATGAGGCTGGAACATTCCTGAGCTGGGGGGTGGGGTGGGGGGCTATCTGGCTGCGCCCCAGGGTCACGGTCTGTGCGGCCCCGAAAAGTGCCGAGCAGGCGTGCACGGGGCCTCGTTGTGTGCTTTTAGGCATCCGCATGCTGGACGGCGACGTGACGGATGTGGTTGAAGCCAAGTCGCTGGGCATCAGACCCAACTACATCGACATTTACAGCGCCAGCTGGGGACCAGATGATGACGGGAAGACGGTGGACGGGCCTGGCCGACTGGCTAAGCAGGCCTTCGAGTATGGCATTAAAAAGGTGTGAGTCTTCCAGGGCTATGGTGCATCTCGCCAGGGTGGGGGGCAGGGAATAGTAAAAAAAAAAAAAAAAAAAAAAAATTTTAGCAATTAAAAATTAGAGTGACACAAGCCAGAGCCCCCAAAATGGGGCCGGGAAGGCCCTGCCGTGCCACGACCAGTGTGAGGGAGAAGGCATTTCAAGGTTCAGGGGAGTGGCTCTCTACCAACCAGAGCAGAAGGATTTCACCTTGTCAGAGAGAGGCTATTCTAGCAGGTGCCCGAGGGTCACCCACCAGGCCCAGGACTCTGTGCCTTGAAGCCTGACAGCCCCCAGCTGAGAGGTGTGGGCAGGTGGGCTCTAGGGGTCTTAGTCTGACTACCTAGGTTGTTACTTGTGTAGGTGGAAGGGGATGTCCTGGGCCTCGGTCCCCCTGCCCACAGAAACACCCAGCCATGGAGTTTCCCGTGTCCATCACGGAGTGTGCACTAATCCAGCACCACCACCCCCACCACCAAACAGGAAATCTTGGCCTTGTTGCCCTCCCTGCCAGCACACAGCCTAACATGTTTAGGATCTCTTCGGTAGAGCCTCACCAGGGACTAAACAGAGCAAACATCCAAGCACAGGTTCTCCGCTGACCAGCTGAGGGGAAGCAGAGGAGACTGTCAGGCTTGTTCTCCACCCGCCAGGAAGCCCACCCACAGTCACTCTGGGATCATTAGTCCTGGATCCTTGGGAGTCAAACATGCAGGGAAGGGGGGGGCGTGGAGAGGGACCTGGAGATGACCTAGTTCTTATAAGCCAGCTGGTGAGGCAGATTTCTGGGCGAGGACAGCTTCTTGGAGCAGACAGATGGAGCTGCGGTCAGTGTCCGGGTGGCCCTGGGTGGCCCAAGGCCCAGCCCAGAGTACAAGGTATGGCCTGGTGATGCTGGTGGGGGGTTGGGCAGGAAGTCCAAGCATCCCTGGGCCAGCATCTGTACTTCTGACTTCTCCTATGGGAGGCGGGACAGTAGGGCTGCAAAGGCAGGGGTGGTTCAGGTCCCTTTTATTATTTATGCTTTAGAACGTTTTTTAAAAGTCCTTATTTTATTATAACCTATGTGCCATGATTAAAGTGTGGTTAATAACTAGTTAATGAACAAATCAAATATTATCAGAGGATCCTATTAAAAGCAACCTTTCTTTGTCTCCCCCCATCCCCCCCCGACCGGTCCTGCCCCATAGAGGACCAATTTTTTTTTTTTTTTTAACTCTGTTCCCTTTTTTCTTTCTTCTAAATAATAGGATTTGATTGCTTTTTTGGATAAATTGAGTTTGGTCATTTTCTGTGAGTTTTTTATGGGGTTTGAGTATTTATCTCTTAGCATGTCCCCAACCTTGGCATTTGACCTCATGGTCATGTTTGGGACACCACCCAACTGCCTTTGTCCTCCGTGACTCAAAGAAAATGCAAAAGGCTGCTTCTGTCAGGTTGCTGAGCCCCTGAGCTGTGCCAGGTGCTGGCCCAGGGATGCTGGAAGGTTCAGGTGTGACCAAGTCAGCTGCTGCCTACAAGGGGCTGCGAAGTAAAACTATCTTATCTTCCCAGTGCTCGTCTCCTACCACCCACTAGATCACATGGATCTCACTCTTGATGACAAGTGGGACATCCTAAAAGTTAAGCTTTAATTTAAGCTGTCAATTAGAGATCGCATTTTCTGTGTGGAAGATACTGCTTGGAACAGTGTTAATCCTTAACGTGTCCTTCTCTGAGATTTCGAAAGATCTGAGGTCTCAGGACAGGGCCCCCTATTTCCTGGACAGGTCAATGATTGTTTTCAAATGATTGTTGGGTATCACAACTTCACTTAGCTTTGCGTCGACTGAACCTGTGTGGGGCTTTGGAAAGTCGGGAGCTGCAGAGAGGGGATCTTTGCATTCTGGATTCTGAGCAGCACCGGCTTTACTAGGCTGTCAGGGGAGTGAAGAAGGTGCAGAGGGGACTGTGTGGCTCCCCGTCATTCTTGTCACAGTTTCTTGAAATACTGAGGTCATTCCATTTTTTCCCCAGTCATTCTGAAGTAAAATATGTCATATAGGGGTCCTTAAATCATAGCTGTGTGAAGTTGTCACTGAAAATCCTCCTCGAAATTTGATGATCTCAAACCAGACCACATTTCCCCCCCATCTGTTTTTCCTTCTCGATGCCCCATTTGTCAGCTACAGTCTTTTTCTGTCAAGCCTGACTTCATCTCTGGTAGATGATGTGGTTTGGTGGTAGGAGACTTCAGAGGCCATCATCTGGCATAGAGATGTGCCTCATGTTGGTCCTTAGGAAGCCTTACCCCTTGCGTGGCTTGTCCTTCCGAAGCTGAGCCTGGAAACACTGGCCTTGTCCAGATGCCGGGTATTTGCAAGCCCTCAGGCACGGTGCTTTGGAGTTCACAGATGAACCCTTCACCTCCCAGGCGAGGCGCTGAAATACGTTTGGATCAGGTTGAGGTTGTGACTTTCCTGAACAGAAACACCAGTTCACGGCTAGGGTAGAACTGTCCCCTGTAGCTTCTGTCCCATGGCTTCCAAGACATGGGAAGTGAAAATATCCTCAGATGGGCGCCTGGGTGGCTCAGTTCGTTAAGCGACTGCCTTCGGCTCAGGTCATGATCCTGGAGTCCCGGGATCGAGTCCCGCATCGGGCTCCCTGCTCGGCGGGGAGTCTGCTTCTCCCTCTGACCCTCCCCTCTCTCATGTGCTCTCTCTCTCTCTCATTCTCTCTCTCAAATAAATAAATAAAATCTTTAAAAAATACATATAATCCTCAGAGACAGCTAAAACATCTCGTCACACCTCAGATCTGGGTGTTTCCTCCACCTCATTCTTTGCAGGAGGGAGAGAGGTGTTTGATGCCTTGACACCTGGGAGAATGGATTAGTCTAGGAGTACCTACACAGCGTAAGGTGGAAGATGGGGGCCTTTGGCATTTTAGGCCCTTGTTCTTCAAAGTGGGGTCCAGAAGCAGCCATGCGGGCATCACCTGGGAGCTCATTAGAAATGCAGAATCTCGGGGCACCCCCAGACCTACCGAGTCTGAGTCTGCCATGTAGCAAAACCCCCAGTGACTTGTGTGCACGTTCACGTATGAGGAGTGCTGTCTGGGGGCGTTCTCTGTGCTGCTGGAACAATAAAGTTCTAGGCTCCACTTTGCAAAATGACAGCCTTTCATAAATCATTTAGAGTGGGGTGGGGAGTGTCTTAGAGATGATTCTCATGCGCTAAAGATAGGCTCCGATGGGTTAAATACTTTTCCATTTTGATTTTAGTTTCTTTGAACTAGCCTCCAATTAATCTCTCCCTGTAGGTAATTATATGCACAGACACACCCATTTCCACAGTACTTGGTGCCTTTCTTCCAGAAGGTTGACCTTTCGGCTAAATGTGAGTAAGCTTTCTGTGGAGCTCTTGGCCATGCGGACAGGTCCGCCTGGGAGACGTGGAAAGCAGTGTGAGTGGGTGAGCAACGGGACTGGGTGAGCACGAGGGACCTCCCGGGGGCTCCGTTGAGAGCCTCAGGTTAGAAACTGGAGGAAAGGTCAGAGTCATGACAAATGGGCACAAAAGGGCAAGGAACTGTCGTCCACTTGGGCTACAAAGTGGAGAGTCATGGGGCTTTCCGAGCAGGTGGGTCTGCTCAGCCCGGGGTGGACTTGAACTCTGGGTGAGTGTAACGCATCCAGTCAACAGCAAGGCTTCTGTTGGACTCTGTGGGGATCACAGAATTTTGTTGCAAGTTTTCTTTAAATTGGCCAGTTGTTGAGCATAAGTATCAGTTTCTTCCCACATGTTTGGAAAGGAGGGTCCTTGACAAGGACACCAAAGTAACCAGTCCTGTGGGTCCGGTTTCATGGAGATGGGTGTTGGCGCTGTTCTCTTGGCCTGGCTGTGCATCACCAGCAGGTCCAGCCACTCGGACAGAATGGGTCAGGTCCGTCTTGGATTGATCTTTAACTAGTGTTTGGGACTGGGGTGAGCACTTGGTTGAGTCAGAAATCCTTGATTCCGTGGGTGTGGGATGAAACAGAGCTGCAGGAACCGACCCTGATGGCCACTGTCTTTCAAAGACTTGCTTTCACATGTATGTTCTGAAAAGTGAAGACCTACACACAGGTGAAGCTCCTGGCTTTGACTGGCATTGACCACCTGACTACTTTATTTTTTTTTAATATTTTATTTATTTATTTGAATGAGAGAGAGCATGAGCAAGGGGAGGGGCAGAGGGAGAAACAGACTCCCCGCTGAGCAGGGAGCCCGATGTGGGGCTCGATCCCAGGACCCCGGGATCATGACCTGAGCTGAAGGCAGGTGCTTAATCAACTGAGGCACCTCGGTGCCCCACCTGACTACTTTAATGTATACCCATGGCAGAGACCCTGGAGAACTCATAGGATGGCCCCAAGCGGCTATGGATTCTGGACCATCACCCATTTTACCTGTTCAGTCTTCACCCAGAATTCACAGTCCCACCCCCTCTTTTCAAAACCTTGCTCTCCAAGAAATGTGCTTCTTCCACTGGGTGTTCAGGAAAATTCACCCTCTGCCCCAAAGGACCAGCTCTTTCATTCCCCACAGGTTTCGATCTCGAAAAATTAATGTTATAAATTCAGCCATCAGCTTTCATCTCAGTAATACTTGTGGCACTGCTTACTCTTTACAATGCTAGGTCATTCGGATGGAAATTACAGGCATGGCTCTGGAGTGGAACAGCTCATACGAGGGCCCTTGATTTTCCCCTGAAGAGCAGAGAGGGCTTTCTGGGCCATCGCCTCAGTGCAACCCTGCGATTCTGCCGTTGTAAGGCTGTCGCCACGGGCAAAAGTGCTCTGTGAAAATGAAACGAGAGCCCACAGAACCATGTGGCATCCATATGGTCTGAACACATCCTTCTCAGACCCTTGGGAGGGACATTCCGAAGGAAGGACTCCAGGCCGGCGCGAAACCCAGCGCTCGAGCTTCCGACTGCCGGGGCTGACGCCTTGTTCTCCTTCTTCCCCTCCCTCTAGGGCCGGCAGGGCCTGGGTTCCATTTTCGTCTGGGCCTCTGGGAACGGCGGGAGAGAGGGGGACCACTGCTCCTGTGATGGTTACACCAACAGCGTCTACACCATCTCCGTGAGCAGCACCACCGAGAACGGTTACAAGCCGTGGTACCTGGAGGAGTGTGCGTCCACCCTGGCCACCACCTACAGCAGTGGCGCGTTTTATGATCGGAAAATCGTGAGTTCTTTTGGCCAGGTGGAGAGCCGAGGACGCACGCCTTCGGCCCTTTGGGGGCAAGTTTCTTTCCCTCTTCACAAAAAGAGGAGCCAGGTTGAGGCCAGTCTGTACCGGGTCCCAGAGTACTGACCTTACCCATTGGTGAACTGGTTGTGCCTTGAGGGAAACCCCAGTCCCTTGGCAACCACCCTCAGACCCTGCCTTTCTAATTTTTGCACAAAATACCAATTAAAACCCTCTCTTGGCTTTAGGGATCTAAAAATAGCATTTAAGAACGGGGTGCCTTCTCAGCACCATGCCTCCTTCTAGCTCTCTAAATTTCTGTGGTCACATTGCTTGGGATCCAACTGACCAGTTCAGTTTCAACGTGCCAAATAGAGTAAGAGAAAGTCTTAGTTTTATACTGAAACCTTTTAGAGATCCAAGTGTTCTTCCAGGAGGTTCTTTCCCCCAACAAAACGACTTTCCCTGGACACTTCGAATTGAGCAGTGGTTTCTGTCTGTTCCATTCACTTCAATGAACACCAGCGTGATTCATCCTTTTAAAAAGGGACTGTTTTCTTTCAGCATATGGGTGGAATTCGTGCTTTCTTCCTTCCCCACAGGCTTTCCTACTTTAAGAAAAGTAAAGAGGGGGAGGATTTTGAGCCAAAATTAATGCAGAATTCAAATGCACAGTCATTAAGTTGGTTTTTAGACGTTTAAAAAAATGAGACTGTGGAGCTGGCCAGACATGGTTTAATTTTAAAGCATGCTCACTAGCATCTTTTTATTTCTCCTGCTGCTGAGCCACATCTCTAGAAATTATTTGCAAATTTATTTTTTACATTTTTCGGGGGCAGCATGCAGGCTCCCTGTTCCCCGCTTTTCCCTGCACCTGCTGAAAGGTCAGCCACACGGCTGCTGGGCCACCAGCCTGGCAGTGGCCCGGGCTAGTAAACAGAGGTCTTAATTTATTTTCCTTTTCTACCGAAGCACGTGCCCCTGGGACAGGCAGCCAAGATTCTGAATGGTATCCTGTTCATTTAGGAATCTAGCTCATTTGAACACGGGCTTGCTGGAGTCTTGTTAAACAGGCCTGCCGGCTGGAGGCGTTCAAGACAGAGGTCTTGTCATTGAACGCTTTGTACCGGAGGCTTCCTGCTGGGACGCCTGTGTCTCCCATCCCTGGGAGCAGGGCTTGCTGCTTTATTTGCTTAGTTAATCACACTGCGTGTGCACACACCTTAGCTACAAAATGCCTTAATTCTTTTTTCTTTCTTCCTTCCTGTTTTGTTTTTTTTTTTTATCTCTTCTCCGAGCAATAATATACGGGTCAGAAGGGCGTAGTTCAGAGGAGGGTAAAAGAGAAAATCACTTAGTGTACTTCCTGGGCTAGGCCTCTCCTCTGAGAGTATGGATGGCATTTTTGCTGGGGTTTTTGTTTTTGTTGTGGTGGTGGTGGTGGTTTTCAGCTCAACTAGAGCCAAGCTTTTGCTCTGAGTCCTCCAAGAGAACCTGCAAGGGGATGGACTTCTCTGGATGGTTGGCAGCTTGTAGGCTATGCGGTTCAGGCAGGTGTCAGCTGGAAATCAAGGCTCTGTCCCATCCCGTACTCTCTGTTCCTCTCTGTCCAGCGAATGCCGAGCCGTGTTCGCCTGGAGGGAGGGGATTGCCCGGTGCTGACACATGACTTTTAATAAAAGGAGTAACGCGCAGCAGAGCATCGCTCACCCATTCATTCCTTGGCTTTCTTTCATTCGCTGACCTGGAGCAGAGTTCCACGCATGACGTTTGGTCTCAGGAAGCAGGGGCTGCCCACCTTGGTTGAGCCATCCCCTCCCTGCGGAGGGGGGCCCTCTGCTCACTCCCCGGTTCTCAGAGGCTGGAGAGCCAGCCATGGGCCTCCCCTGCTCTTGGGAGCGTGGCCTCCTGCCCAGACACCCTCAGTGTCCATCACTGGCCACCATTTACTGAATGTAAGTATGTTTCAGGCGCCAGCTATGACTTTCACCAGAAAGAAGCCTGTGAAGGACACATCATTAGGCCCATTTGCAGATGAAGATCCTGGGGTCAGAGGTTGCATCCTTGTCTGGACTTCCCTGCCCTCAGCTGCCCTTCCTAACAGCAGGATGCAGGGAGGAGGAGGCTGGTCTCTGCCAGTGTTCCTGTCAGTCTTCTGGCATGTGCATGAGACAGGCTGGATCCTGTCTCCTGGGTGATTGTCAGCCCAGCCGGAATGTGATGAAGGAAGATGCTCTGTTGGGGAGAGGATCTGGATTGTTATGACTGGGGAAATTCATTCTTTAGGGTTATGCAGATCGGCTACTAGAAACTTGCTGTTGGTGTGGCTATCAGTTTCCTATTGCTCTCATAACAAATTATCCCAAACTCAGCAGCCTAAAACAGCACAGAATTATTATCTCAGAGTTCAGGAGGTCAGCAGGGCAACAGCCTCGACTGCGTCTCTTCTGAGCCTCCTGAAGCTGAAATCCGTGTGCCGGCCGGGCCGTGTTCCTTTCTAGAGGCTCTAGTGGAGAATTCATTCTGTGCTCATTCAGGTTGTTGGCAGACTGTAGTTCTTTGTGGTTATAGGACTGAGCTCTGGATTCCTTGTGGGCTGTCTGCGAAGGGCTGTTCTCAGCATCTCCAGGCTGCCCACATTCCTTGGCTTATGTTCTTCTATCTCCCTCGTCAAAGCCAGCAAAGATGGTTTGGGTCCCTCTTCTGCCTCGGCTCTCTGACACACTTTTCGGCCTCTCTCCACTTTTCAGGGCCTGGTGGGGCCCACTGGACAATCCAGGATTGTCTCACTGATTTAAGGTGTGCTGGTTAGCAAACTTAATGCCGTCTGCAGCATGCACGGGTGTAGCTTGAGGGCCAGAATCCCATCTAGCACAGTAGGTGTGGCACGGCTGAACCCATGCATGGTGATTCCACGGTGCTGCTTCTCCACGTCAGTTCAAAGAAAAGGGACAAATCAGGCTGTGTACTGATGAGGTCCAGAATCAATATCCCCACCCGGCCCAGAGTCAGTGCCTCAGAGGAAGGCATGCAGAGCCCCCTCGGTTTGCAGTCAGCTTTGCCTTCCCAAGGACAACGGTCAGCTTCATTGTCCCACACAGCAGGCCCTGTGAAGGTCAAGAACACTCCAGGTTCATCTGCTGCTGCAGATGGAACTGGGTGCTTTAGGACACTGTCAACTATCTGAGGAGGACATCCTGATAGGGAATGATCTGTGACCTTCTGTGACTGATCTCTGATCTGGGTAAAGGCAGGGGTGGTCTCTGCGCCACCTGGGCACCCCCCCCCCTTGTTTCCAGCTGCTCTGATGTCAGGGGTGACTTGGGGGTCGTTAACATGGGCTGTGGCAGGTGAGGACTCTGCCATGGAGGGCCCCTCTCTTACCCTTATGTCCCAGCACGCTCATCTGCAGCCGTGAGGTTGTGCGGCTTCCTGCTGCCTGCCTTTCCTCCGCCTTATCTCCCTGTCCCCACCCTGTTGATTAGCTCACTCCTGCAGCGGGTCCCTGTTCTATGTTTGAGAACAAAGCAGATTAGCAGCGAGGAGCAGACACAAACCTTGACTGGGGAGATGTGTCTCCGTAGTGCCTCTTCCGTCCCTGGGACCAGGGGCCACACCTGTCCAGGTGCAGCATCTTGAGTAGCCTCTGACGTCGGACATCCTCTGAGAGCTGACTTCGCCTCTTGCTGCCCTGTCCCCAGGTCACCACGGATCTGCGGCAGCGCTGCACGGACGGCCACACAGGGACCTCAGTTTCAGCCCCCATGGTGGCGGGGATCATCGCCTTGGCTTTAGAAGCAAAGTAAGTTCCCACTTGCCTCCCCTTCTTTTCCTTTGTTTTCTATACGTTTTTATTACAGTAAAATACACATAAAGGTGACCAGTTTAACCAATTTTTTAAAAGATTTATCTGTTTGATGGGGCGCCTGGGTGGCTCAGTCGTTAAGCATCTGCCTTCAGCTCAGGTCATGATCCCAGGGTCCTGGGATCACGACCTGAGCTGAAGGCAGACGCTTAACTGACTGAGCTCCCCGGCCCCCCCCCCCCGCCCCATTTTAACCATTTTTAAATGTACATTTCATCAAGCACATTCACCTTGAGTAACCATCACCACCATCCATCTGTGGAACAATTTCATCATCCCAAACTACAATCCTACACCCAGTAAGCAGCAACTCCTTGTGCTGGTCAGGTAGGGATGTCATAACAAAATACCACAGACTGGGCAGTTTAAACAACAGAAATGAATGATCTGACAGTTCTGGAGGCTGGAAGTCTAAGATCAAGGTGTCAGCTGGGTTGGTGTCCTCTGAGACCTCTCTCCTTCATTTGTAGATGGCCACCCTCCCCCTGTGTCCTCATACAGTCTACCCTCCATCTAGGTGTGTGTCTAGATCCTTTTATAAGGACACTGGTCATAGTGGATTAATGATCCCGTGTGACCTTAATGACCTCTTTAAAGACCCTATCTCCACATACAGTCATATTCTGAAGGACTGGAGGCGAGGGCTTCAATATATGAATTTGGGAGGACACAATTCAGCCCATAACACTGCCTGTAACCCCTCCTCCAGGTCCCGACAATCACCAGTCCACCTTTTGTCTCTATGAGTTTGACTGCTCTAAGCACCTTGTGTAAGTGGAATCACCTAGGATTTGTTTTTTTGTGACTGGGCTCACATAGCACAGTGTCCTCAAGGGTTATCCACGATGTAGCATGGGTCAGGATTTCCTTCCTTTTTAAGGCTACCTTTAATGGATATGAAGAGACTCCTTCCCTCCTTTTTCCTTTTTAAAGCTCACCGTCTCCTGCCCTTTGTAGGACCACAGAGAGCTGGGGGAGCCAGAACCCCAAGCCTACCTCCCATTCTGCATCACGCGCCAAAATCCCACTTTGGGCCACTACAGGTGCCCTTCATAAACTTTAGCTGATAAACTGACGAGGCAGTGGTGATGTTTTATCTGTCACAAGCCAAATAAAAACTCTGGAGTTGTTAGTGTCCAGATGGGTCAGAAAGAAAAGAGAGTTTCCTACACCTGCAATCATGGTGTCAAAAACAAATTTAATTTAGACGTCAAAACTGGCTCAGAACAGCCCCGCCGTTTTGAAGTAGTCCGTTGTTGTTGATGAAATTTTTTAAATGATTCAAAAAAATCCTATTTGGGTTGCTTCGATCCTTACAATTATGGATATTTGCATGTCGGTTTGTCCGAGGCAAAAGAGCATACAACTCAAATGTTACCAGCTTAACAAAGGAATAGCTAAATATTTTTTGATTTTCAGGCCAAAATGTTGGCTTCTGTGTCCTGAGGCTCTTAAAAAAAAGAATTCTAAATAATTACTTACTTGTGTGGAAAGTGGCATTCACATACTTAGCAATTCATTGTTTTATAGTTCCTTCCATCCCTTATTGGAAGCATGCAAGGAATTTTGTTAGTCAAAACTAAATAGAAAGCAAGCTTCATTTCATGCCTGCTTGTTCCATTAAACTTGGCCTGTGGACACATGAAAACTCTGGTAGTCATCATCCTTGCCCTTTCAGCTCCTCCTCAGAAATTCACAGGTGGCTAGTCTGAAAACAGTGTTGGCTCAGAGCATTTAAGCCTGCAGGACTGGTCAAAGAAGAGGCAGGTTATAACAAGGGCCCCTGCGGGCCTGAGGTGAGGAGATTGGAGCCTGGGATAGTACAGGTGTCCAGGGAGCAGGCCTGCTGCTCCTGCGCCTAGCATTGCCTTCCAGCTCTGTTCACTTGCACCGTAGAAGGCATCCAGGCAAAGCCAGATCATCCTGGGTGGAGGCGGTCTCAGGGGGTCAGGGAGGGCCTGTGGACAGCATGTAACAAAAATGAAGAAAGACCCTCGTGGGTACGAACTGTGCATAGGTTGTCCTGGTTTGTGGCCGTCCTGGGATTTCCCATCAGTCCCATCTTTGCTGAAAAACATTTCCAATGCCATTTCTTAGCTATGTTTCTCATACAACTATATGTCTGATTTTATTACCAGAGTCCAAAATAAAATGGATGTCTTCATAATGAGACAGTTTCTCACATTCTCCTTTTCTTTACCCATTCTGTGCTGAGCTCTGCGGCTCCTGCTTCCTGGCACCTTCTGCTGGAGCCATCCTTGATAGGCCCCGCAGTGACTTGCCAGGTCACACGGGAAACAAGGGGTGCAGCCCCATCTACTCTGGTTGAGTTCCAAAGCCTGTGTCTGTACGCAAGAGGGTGAGGCCTTGGACCATGCAGGGCCTCAGAATCCCCCCTGAACAATGACGTTGGCCATGGGCCCTCAGGAGGGGCAGTAGGGCAGGGGAGGAAAGCCAAGCAAAGGCCTGGAAACTGGACTGATGGACACAGTTGGGGGGGAGGTGGCCAGGAAACCAGTGAGGTTACTGGCACAGAGACAAGAACATGCTGGAGAAATCAGAGGATACCGGGCGGGGCCAGCACCTGGAGAGTAAGTCCCAAGGGAGGAATGTATGTGTGCCCCAAGATTCAAACCACGGTGAGATCCCAGTGGACAACAGGCAAAAAGGTGGGAACGTGACAGGGTGCAGCCGCTGTAGGATCTAGTCTAACCATAAAAGGAGGAGATATCTCCAGGACCCCTCAGTAAATGAATGGATACACACAATGTGGTCCATACAAGCTATGACGTATTCTTCAGCCTTCCAAAGGAAGGGAATTCTGACACCTGCTACGTACAACGTGGATGGACCTGGCGGACATCAGGCTGAGTGAAACAAGCCAGTCCCAACAGGACACGTACTGTGTGATTCCATGTGTATGAGGTTCCCAGAGTTGTTACATTCATAGAGACAGAAAGCAGAATGGTGGTGGCCAAGGGGCAGGAGGCAGGGGGAAACAGGCAGTTAGTGTCTAATGGGGACAGAGTTCCACTTGGGGAGGATGAAAAAGTTCTGGAGATGGATGGTTTGTGATGGATATACCACCATGTACAGGTCCTAATGGTTCTGCCCTGTGCACAGAAAAATGGTTAAGGTGGTAAATTTTCTGTTATGTATATATATATTTTTAAAGAGTTTATTTATTTATTTGAGAGATCGAGCGAGCGAGAGAGAAAATGAGAGAGGAGAGCACAAGCAGGGGGAGCAGCAAAGAGAGAGGGAGAAGCAGGCTCCCCACCAAGCAAGGAGCCCCACATGAGGCTCGATCCCAGGACCCTGGCATCACAACCCGAGCCAAAGGCACATGCTTAACAGATTGAGCCATCCAGGCGCCCCTTTTATGTATATTTTTAAACACACACAAAGAGTGGGTGCCTGGAAAGACAGTTGTAATTGCTGTGGGAGTGGGGCAGGCCCTGGGTCAAGAGGAGGGGGTGCAGGTCCTTCCAGCCTCTGTCTGTGACCTGGTCTTGATGCTGTGAACAGAGGGGGTTATGATAGAGTATCATCAGAAGATGGATCCTGGTTTCAGAGGTGTTTTTAAAAAAAAAAAAATGGCGGGACAATGTATCTTAGACTCACAAAACTCTGATCTATGCATTTTTATTAGTGGGCATGTGTTCGTTCAATGAAACGTTTCTACTTTGCACCAAAACAAATGTATTAGAAATTTAGAGTTACTAAAATCTTGAATTACAATAGGTAGCAGGTGGGTCCACACCGGGGGCAGGGAGTGGGGGGTGTGGGGTCTGGGCAGATGAAGGCTCAAGCATGCTTTCGTGCACCATAACATTTGCTCGTCCTGATGAAGAATAACCCCCAGGACTTAGAAACATCAAGATTTCCCTCTCCCCCTGCCTCAATTTCTTCGGTAGCCCTTGGACACACTCAGGTACCTTGGCAGCAGGGCTGGGTTTTTAACGCTATGGATTTTAGGTCACCCACTGCACTGTTTTATCTTGGGATTTAATCCCTGGAAACCATTCTTTACAAAGAGGTTATGAAATAAACCCTCACTGAGGAATGGAGCCTGCAGGGCTCACTCAAGTCCCGACTCGGGGCTGGCTCCTGACACACCACCGCCGATGGGCCTGGGCAGCCGTCATTTTGACCCGTGCGGGCTTGGGCTTCACTGGTCTGTCATTGTGTCGTTGCAGTAACCAGTTAACCTGGAGGGACGTCCAGCACCTGCTGGTAAAGACATCCAGGCCGGCACACCTGAAAGCCAATGATTGGAAAGTCAACGGTGCCGGTCATAAAGGTGCGGGGGCGGCTCCCATTGGGCTGGGCGGGGACGGACAGCCTGTCCCAGAGGGCCCACTGGGTGACCTTCTGGAATCTCTATTAAAGGGCTGCCAGGAGCTTCTCAAGAAGAATCCCCAAATCCTCAAAGAATCACAAGGGTGAGAAATACATAGCTAGAGAATTAGGAAAAGTAACCTCACGCTGACGTTAAGAAATAAGCCTAAGATCAGTAGAATTCAGGGTTCCCTAAACATCACGACTTTTGTCATCCAGAGACCACCTGTACCAAGTATTGATGTAATAGTTCTCTTTACACGGACTTGCATTTTTTTTTACATAAAGAAATATATTTTAAAAAGAAACTTTATTATATCTCGTTAATCACGGGTTTGAGGTAGATTTCTATTCTTTTTTAATGCATGTCAAAACAAATCCATGACTATTAAGATAAATAATGTTTGTTGTGTGCCACCTAAGGGCATCTTGCATTCTTAGTCTGGAGTAGCTCTATGATTTTGAAACGGGCCCTCAGTTTCCTTATCAGTACAGTGAGGACACTGAGATAGTTATAAGTTGTTTTCTAACCATAAAATTTCTCTCTGTGTTATAAAAGTAACTCAAGGCTCCTTTCCCCAACGCAGCCTGACAGACCTAGGTTCCATGAAATCAACCCACAGTCAGGGCTTGTAACCCTGCCTCTCGAGCAGATAATTATAGGACTGTGGTACTGGCTTTGTTTGCCTGCCTTCTTACCAGAGATCCTTGAAAAAGATTTCCGTTCGGCCCAGGTATGTTAGGGAGGACTCCTTTTTCCTTTTCTGAAGCTCAGGCCCAACCATTTCGACACCGAGCCTGATACTACTGTCTGTAAAATATAGGACAAGTATTGTCACTGTAAGTTCCAAGGGACGTTCCTTTTAATAAGAAAGCCGTCGATCAGGCCTAATGCACCCTTGTCTTGCAAGAATGTTGGTGGTAGTGGTGTGCTGTAACGAGAGCTGACCTACATTTCGGTGTTGGCCTAATTAAATAGGAAAATAGACTGTATCTCATTCCTGACCCTGCCTCTTAAATTAAACTTTGAAACTCTCCTGCCGTGGCCAATAAACACCGGATCGGGCCAACTCACAAGCACTCACGGTCTGAGTTCTGAGTCATACCACTTTCCCAGGATGCCCTGGGAATTGATCAGGCAAAGAAAATGGTGGGAAAAAAAAAAAAATGAACCCGGCCTTGCTTTCTGGTTTATTACACATCATGGCTGCATGAACCAAAGGGTTTCAGGTTTTTGTTTCTCTAGTCCGGTTTATGATTCGAGGAGCTCAAACGCCGACAAGTCCCTTCTGTGGTGGTGTGGTGGCGGGGGGGACCCATCCCTGTCTTGCAGAAAAAAAGTACTAGGCCCTCTCCACACTTCTTTTCCGACCCTGCACCAAAATGGGCCACGTTTTGGGGGCCGCACTCCTGACCTGAAGGAGTACAGGTCAGGGGGAGGCTAACGTAGCTGGGATCTTGGAGCAGTCCTCAGAAGGGCTGCAGCCTGGGCTTTCCAGGAGGTAGCCCGCGTTCCTGCCCTGCCATGAGTGGTGCAGGTGGTCTGTCCCAGGACCGTGGCAGCCGTGGATCCGGTGCCCTACGTGGGAGCCGAGCAGAGCGCGAGAGCTGGGCCTTGCTCCATTCCTGGGGGGCAGCGGCTTCTGAAGGCTCTGTCTTTTCAGTCAGCCATCTCTATGGATTCGGCCTGGTGGATGCAGAGGCCCTGGTCACGGAGGCGAAGAAGTGGAGAGCAGTGCCTGCCCAGCATGTGTGTGTCGCCACCACAGACAAGAGACCCAGGTGAGGCTCAGCTCAGGCGCCAGGTGGCTTTTCAGGAATGTCAGTGCGGAGCTGACTGTGTTGTAAGGTACAGTGTAAGGTGTAAGGGTGTTCACACATGCGTTCCTGTGCACATCGGTGGGCACACGTGTGGGGGGCATTGTGTGCACATGGTAGTGTGTGTATAGACATGTCTGTGTTTTCTCTTATGGATTCTGGAGCTGGAAAAGAACCACTCCTTAACTCGTGACTCTTTTGAGGCCTTTTGCTGTCGATTATAGACCGCTCCATAGTAGGGAGTCAGATGCCCCATAGTCCCTTGTACCGGAAATTCTTACCCAGAATATTTAGCGTAGCTGGCTGGACCCGGCGATCAGGCCTGCCCAGGACGGTGAAGTGGGCAGCAGTGATGAGTGTCCTCTTTTTCAGGTGGGAGCCCTAGCTCCAGCCCAGCCCTACCTGTCCCAAGAGCCCCCAGTGTGATTCCATCAGCCGTGAACAAGAGAGGCGGCATCTGCCCCTTCCCTGATGCAGAAGGGGGTTTATTATCCAAAGTGCAGAGTACTTCTCCTCTGTGTCACTTGAATCTGGACTTTAATAGCCTTCTTGAGGTTTAAGCACCGGGATTTTTTAACAAGCCTTGAGCGGTGTGCTTGTAGGACGCTGGTTTCTCCTTTTTCCACAGTTAGGACACTCCCAGCATTGCCCTTCATAGTGAGTTGTTCTAAATCAGACACATTTGTTCATTGAAATTTTTGTTAAAAAACAGACAAAGAACGGCTGCAAAGTAAATCAGATAGCAAGAACCCTACTCCATTAGGAGAGGAAATCAGATTCTTCTTCTGAGTTCTGCCATTGCCGCTATACTTTTTAAGAAGGAGAATGGTGTTTCTCTAGGCCTCAGTATCTGATAAAGAATGGAATGCTTTTTTTTTTTTCCTTCCTAGCTGTAACTATTTATTACCTTTGGGAAAATGTGTGTTTGGAAAAAGAAATGTTGGAGTGATTAAAAGTGACCCTTGCTTTATCAGCAAATGCAGCTCCCTCCCTTTGATACTGCCTCCTTTTTGAAAGCATCTACCTCTTATAATAATGTTCTTTTGCCATGCAATGTTGAGAAAAATGTTTCTCGCTGCCACCTGGCCCTGTGGTAGGAATTCAGAAAGTGTTGCATGAGTAGCCAGGGATGGCGCTTTTGAAAAACTACATTTGCATCCTGCTGCTAATTGTGAAGGCTGAAGGCTGGGTGAGGCCTCCTGGGCTTGACAGGCTGGTAGGCAGGCAGCAGATCTCCATCTTGACATTTTCAAGCATCATCTTCTCCGGGGAGCCTTAGCCTGTCATTTCAGAAGAAAGTGGGAGGTTCTCTGAGATCAAGAAGGCCCTTTGCTTTCTGTTGTTTTGCGTGTCGGAAAATGCCCGGCACATGGAGAATCAGACTCCAGGTAAGGTGATGCTGGGCTCCTGGGAGCTGGGTCCTGCCCCGTGAGGCCGCCACGTCCAGGCCCGCCTCCCTTCCACTGGTCTCCCCGTCAGGGCGGCTCCTGAATGAAGCATTCTTTTCCTGCCAGAAATAGTTTTAAGATGGTAGAGTGGTGCCTAGGTGGCGAAGGGTAGTTTTTATTTTTATTTTATTTTGTTTTTTAAGTGAAAGCACACTGAGTCTAGACAGCTGAGGCAACTGGCCGTAACATACAGTATGACATTGTTCCTGTCCTTGGAGGGAAGAAAGGACTCTGCAAATTCCAACAGAGGGGATGAATCAGACTTCTGTTTCAGAAGAAAAGTTATCTTTACATTTAGCGGTTTGAGGCTCTTTCTAGAATATTCGGCCAGCCCGCTATCCCAAAGCACTTGCTTCACTGCACGCTCGATTGTTCCCAAGGATGTAAGGGCCTCCAGATAGAGAAAGAGAGGGAGATGGGGAGATTGAGAGAGACAGAGACAGAGAGAGAGAGAGCCTCTTTATGTGGCCATCCCGTGTGTACCTGTGTGTAACATACGTGGTACATTTACCTCTTTCCTCTTGGGGAGCAGAGAAGGGCCACCCTGGCGTGATGAAGGTCAGGGAACTGTGTTCATGGAGCATCAAGGATGGACGTCCTAGAGGAGCGCGTGTCCATACCTGCTGTTTCTACAGTAATGTCCTACGGGGCGCTGAGTCAGAGGACCTGGGTGTTGGTGGTCACATGCCGGGGCAGGAACGAAGAGTAGTGATCTCTCCGTCTTCTCCTGCCCTTCAGCCCCGATCTGGCCTTCTGCTCCTGGCACAGGTCACGGCTCAGGGAGATAGTCCTCACGGCCACTGCAGGAGGAATCCACAGGCCACCCTCTCTGCAGAGCCCCCCTGCTGCCCCAACCTGTGCTCAGACACGAGCGTGGCACCCACTGGGCCCCAAATGACCACCCAGTCCCCGTTGGTGTTCCTCTGTTGGACCGTCCGGTCTGATGCCACCTCCACCCCGAGTCACACTCAGGCTAAAAGGGGGCAAAAAGGCCGACAGCACAGGAAAGACCACAGTGGAGGGAAGCTGGGCTGCCGCTGCAGATAGACAAGAAGAGCCCCATCAGGAAACAGGTATGACTGATTCTCTTTAAAGAGAAGCCATACAGGGACCCCGAGCAATAGGTCAGCATTTCTAGTCCAGACACTGTACATCTAAGGACTGTGGGGTTTGCAGTTTAGCCTGTCTCTGTCTAGATCCTCCTCCTGAGAGAGAACTAGAAGTCCCTTGGAGCCTGGAGAAGGTCAGGGAGCCTGCCTGGAGAAGCGGGGCGAGAGGGGACCACAGGGGTGGGGGTGGTGAGGAGCGAGAGGGGCCAGGCCCCCTGCTCCAAGGTGCAGCCAGATCTCGCTGAGCCGTCTCTTCACGGCCTGTCACCCCCTGACCCCAAAACAGAGACCATGGAGTCTGGCTCAGCTCTCTGGCACCCGCTGTGCATCATAGGCGCTGTCCGTGAATGCTAAATCTTAATGCAACAGCAAGGGGGAGATCACTGCAGCTTGGCAGGTAACTCTTGCAAAAGAGAATGCCTTGTGACATTCCAAGGCTGTAGGAGAGATCCTTGCCTAGTCTTGGGCACAAACGGATTTCAGTCTACTTAGAACTTTTCTGTTGCCTGTGCCAAATTATTTACGTCTGTGTGTCAGAGTAAGATAAAATTGATACTTTTAGAACCCTTCTAAAAGTGAAAAAGAAAATCAACATCAGTATCATTCCTATGAATGAAAAAAAAAAAAAAGGCCCAGTTATTAAATATCTTCGTTGACCCTTAGGATGTTTCTAGCCGACACTTCCCTTGTGTCTTTAAAAATCCAGGCTCCCATGAAAGATTTTTTTTTCTTTTTTTAAAGATTTTATTTATTTATTTGAGAGAGAGAGAGAGCATGAGACGGGGGAGGGTCAGAGGGAGAAGCAGACTCCCTGCTGAGCAGGGAGCGTGATGCAGGACTCGATCCCGGACTCCAGGATCATGACCTGAGCCGAAGGCAGTCGCTTAACCAACTGAGCCACCCAGGTGCCCTTCCCATGAAACCTTTTCTGACACCCCTGACTCTCTACTCCCTGCTGGAAAGACAGCAGCAACAGCAGAGTCTCTTCAAGCAGTAAGACCTTATCTAGTTCTCTTCAGTTTTCATAGGTTTTGGAAGGTTACCATCCAGACAGAGTTTACAGTTTAGTGTGGTTGGTCTTTCATTTAAAGAACTCACACAACCCCAAAATATACTTCGGTCCTGAAGGCTCTGAATGTTAAGAATCATCTGTAGGCCAGACCATATATTTATAGATGTTCAAGAATTAACTATGGATTAACCACGTTAATTTGTTAAACCAGACCACATGCGGTGGTCACTTTATAACAACTCTACTTATAAATACATAGGTAAGCATAATGGATAATGACTATCAGATACTTACTATGAGCCAGACATTGTTCTCAGCACTTTCTGTGTACTCATACATTCAAAACACCCACCAAGAGTGTGAAGTTTGGGAACTATTTTTTTCCCCCATTTATATATTGAAGAAACTGAAGAGTCGAGGAGAAGCCTGGGGCTGGGCGGTGGCAGGGCTGAGCTGCTACCCCAGGCTGTCTGTCTCCGGAGCCCACCTTGCCTACCCTGGGAAGGGACGCATCACGGGAACTCAGGCAGGACCCAACCAAGTGGAGTGTGACCTGCACATTCTCCAGGAGACACTTTCCCTGTCTTCCATCTGCATCCCCAGCCGGCTGGGCACACTGGCCCCGAGGACAGGAAATCACCTTGACTCTGGCTACTTGGATACTTGGAGGTTCCTCCAGCCCTGACCAGCTGCCAGCACCCCAGAGGCCAGGCCCAGGTGTCTTGTCTGCAGCAGCTTAGCTAGGCAAGCAGGCAAGGCCACATGGCTCCTGTGTCCCGATAGGGAATACCTGTGTGGCTGGGACCCATAAGGGCCCAACTTCACACGGCCTAGTTTAGCATCTTTTTAAAACCTAAAACTCCCTCTTACCTTTGGGCTCAGTCTGCACTGTACAGGTTGCCCCCACACCCCACCCGGCAACTCTCTCCAAGACATCTCACGGTGTGTACTCCTGGGTACCATAGGAGGGAGGCCCTTGCTTCTGGCTTCTTCCACCGTGTCATTCTTATGCAGAGCATGGCTGGGTGTCCTAAGAAAACTCGTGCTCTGCTGTCCTGCCCTGGGGGGGGTGACCATACCTGGGTCCTGATATTTGTCCTGCTTCCTGCCGCCCCTGGAGACACCTGGGAACGTTAGCAAGCTGCCTGTTTTCCTACAGTCCTTTTGCCCTGCCAAGCTTATTTTTTTGCCACAAACCTGTTTCCCCCAAATTATAAATGCAACTTACTTCAAAAATTCCTATTCGAATTTGAATAATACAGCCAGTTCTCGTTATGCACGGTAGTGCTGTTCTGTGACATCACCACAGACACCGAATTTGCAAATACAGAACCATCACTGCTAGGGGACATCCAGGGTTAGGTTCCTGCGAGCCTCCGGTCACAGCATTTTTGT